ATGGAAAATCTATGGTTAATCTATGGTTAATCTATGGTTAATCTATGGTTAAATATATGGTTATGATGATGGATAATCTATGGTTGATATATGGATAATCTATGGAAAATCTATGGTTAATCTATGGTTAATCTATGGTTAAATATATGGTTATGATGATGGATAATCTATGGTTGATATATGGATAATCTATGGAAAATCTATGGTTAATCTATGGTTAAATATATGGTTATGATGATGGATAATCTATGGTTGATATATGGATAATCTATGGAAAATCTATGGTTAATCTATGGTTAATCTATGGGTTGAGATATGGGATAACTTGGAAAATCTATGGTTAGCTATGGTTGATATATTGATCATCATGGAAAATCTACTGGTTAATCTATGGTTGACTATATGGATAATCTTTGGAAAATCTATAGGGTTATCTCATGGTTGGGAGATTATGGATAATCTATGGAAAATCTATGGTTAATCTATGGTTAAATATATGGTTATGATGATGGATAATCTATGGTTGATATATGGATAATCTATGGAAAATCTATGGTTAATCTATGGTTAATCTATGGTTAAATATAAATATATGGTTATGATGATGGATAATCTATGGTTGATATATGGATAATCTATGGAAAATCTATGGTTAATCTATGGTTAATCTATGGTTAAATATATGGTTAATGATGATGGATAATCTATGGTTAATGGTAAAATAGTTACCCTCTTGGTAATTTGACATAGCTATTGAAAATGGTGACTTGGTTCGTGGATTTACCCAGCTAGAACATGGTGGATCTTTCCATAGTTTTGTAAACGTTTACCAGAGGGTATTAGGGAGATCAAACTGATTGGGATATTCGGGAGATATACTGGTGCTTTGGAACATGAAGTTTACGACTTTCCATTTCAAAAATAAGGGATGTCATCCCAACCCCATTGACGAACTCCATCATTTTTCAGAGGGGTTGTTTTACCACCAACCAGTATAACATTGGGAGATAAATGGATCGAATGTGGGGTACATAGTTACAAATGCTATCCATTGACTACAAGCAAATTTTCCTATTGGGGATGGGGAGAAAAAATAGGCTATGCAAAGAAAACCCAAGAATAGAGATGTTGTCCCATGCTTGAGTTGGGTAAGTTTTACAGATTTTATCCCCCCCAACCAGTTACCTTGGGGTAAACTTGTCTAAAAGCCATGGGTTTCTGTAGGAAAATGATCTACGAATTTATGGTAGGTTTTCCACATCGAACTGTTAGTTTAGAGGAGGGTAACATCTTCCCAACAACATAAATCCAGTAAAATACGGGTTGCATGAGTTGTTCTGAGGTTTCCTTGGCTGTATGCTGAATTCTGACTCTCCGTCACATCCGACTCAACGGTTGGGTTTACACAAGAATTCGGCAGTTGAAATCATGGTTTAGAGATATTTAGAGCCCCATTGAGTTCTTGGTGCTTCCCGCAGACATTCTGTTTTACCGATTCCAGGAATTCTCAACTTTCATCATGTCTTTTTTGTCCAATTTCATGGATACTTTGCGGTTTTATTGCTCATATTTCCGAGTTCACATCTCAATAATTTTTGGCTAATCTCTCCATGTTGATGAGTTGTAGTGGGTAAATATCCCCAGTAGATCATGTCATAATTTTCACGTGTTATGCCGGAACTCAATACGCAACCTGATCAGGAAGAACGGGCGTTGATTGGAGGAGCGCTGGAGCAGTATGCAGAGGGAAAATTCAGGGCGAAAAGACGAAATCCACCCTCTGGTAAAGGTAGATGAAACAGATACCGTAAATTCTTGTTGTACAATATGTGCCCCAAATTTGAACATGATGAAGTATGAATATGATGTAAACAGAAAACATGGATGTACAGAAAACAATGCTGCCGTTTGTTGCAATGGCTCTTTATTGGACTAACCGACTTGTGGGAAATTCATGCGGATCCACCAAATTTGCTCGTGGGACCTTCCCTGTGGAGGATCATCCTTGTGGAGGATCATCAGAGGAATCGATATTGTGGTAACCCTGGCGATTGTTGTCCGGGATTACCCGGCCTGGTTTTCACGTTGACAGAAAACGAACTGGAAAGATCCACCATTTTATAGCTGGGCAAATCAACTATTTCTATGGTCATGCTCAATAGCAAACTGTTAAATTACCAGAGGGTATCCCATTTACTAACCCCATTGGCCCACAAACCATTTCTTCAATTTGAGCAACAACACGAACGTCACACAACACGCCGTGGCGCAGGAAACATCACAACATGGTCCTGCCTTTTGATCATTGAGGCGGGGAAAGTGAACGGCAGCTGATGAAACTTGGTCTGTTGGAAAAAACAAAAGTAAAAAAACGGATCATAAACTGTGAACTCAGGATCATTCAAGATCATAAACTTTGAACTTGATTATCTTGATTGGAAATGAATCTATTGGATCATGGAATGTTTTGCATACTAAGGGCGCCCAGCCATTTGTAATTACATGTAATTACTGTATTTTGACATCATCCTATTTTGCATCACCATACCCAGATCTTGGCAGATGGGATCCACCATTGCCTCATTTTCTGGGATGATCTCTTGGTGAATTGGGCAGTTTTCTTCAAAAAACACCATTGACAAAATCAACCAAGTCATCATTTTCCAACGTCTTCGCAGATTTTCCCCCGGCCGCAACGCCTCCTCTGCCGTGGCGTTGCCGTGGCACGCCGCCATAGGACCCGGCGCGCTGCGACGCGACGGAGGGCTGCAGCTGGCGCCCGATGTTCGGCTCCGGGCGCTGCGTCAACACGCCGCAGCAGGTGACCTTCGACTTCCTCTGGAGCGCTTCGCGGAGAGTGCTGGTGGTGCTGGAGATGCTGTTTGTTGTGGGTAGAAAAATTGATATCCGTTGGCCATATGTTGTTTTCCAGTAAGTCAATGGCACCTTTGTGCAGTGGATTTTCCAACTGAATTGGAATTGATGTTATATTCATGTTAAATAAATAGAAATATGAGCAACGGCTGAAATTGTTTGGTTAAATGGAGAATAGTATTGTGGCGTACCCCGGTTTGTCGAAAGCATCATAGTTAGGTTGTAAAACGAGGAACACCCCGAGAACGAGGTAGGCATCGCGCACAAAGCATTTAGCTATTAAAAACAAATGCGGCATTCGAGAACGAGGTCAGACCCCCAAAAACGTGACGGGACTGGAGAACGAGGTCGGAACACCCCGTCAATTGCGTTTTGTACTAAATAACTTCCGCGGCTCATATATATATAAATAAATATATATATAGTCTGGGTTGCAACTGATGGTGGTTTATTCATGTTTGTTGATAGATGTTGATACTGGTTTTGTCCTTTTTTTGTGTGTTTTTAAATTGGGTTTATGGTTTATAGTGGTTATATATATATATATGACGAAAGTGGTTTATAGCTTGACGGGTTATATGTATATAAATATCACCGTTGATAGTGGTTTATCGTGA